CTGCCACATCAAATTGAAAGATGTATAAAAGGAATAAAGCAGGTGAACTCAATCGTCAACATGGGCTTTGCAGTGCGGTCTAAAGGCTGTGTGTGCTGACTTGGAGAGTGTGTATCCATCTAACAGCCTCCTAAAGGGTTCTGGTGCACATTTTTAAGTGAGTGGATTGCTCTGCTTGTGCTTGTCTGGAGCTCTGACAGGAGAAGAGCTTTTGGCTCCAATTCAGACAGTTAAAACAGCTGAATCACAGAGGGCCAAAAACTATCAGGACTAATAAAATAGGTAATTATTTAGTCCTCATAGACTCTTGTTCAAAGTACAAGGCATATCAATCAATATGATCAATCGCTTTGTAAACAGCCCAACAGGAAGGGGTAAGAATATCAAAATCATAGCGCAGGATACAACCAGCAAAATAAGAAAACAGGAGAGGAGAACGTAGAGTCAGAAAAGACGGAGGAGGGTGGGTGAAGGAGGAGACAGAGGAGTTATAAATGAAGTACAGAGAGGAGGAGGAGGAGTGCGGCTTTGCAGTCATTAATTAGCCCGTTAGCTAGGGCCCAGGCGGTGCGGTTAGGGCCTGCGTCTTTGTGGGCCTGAAGGAAATGGGCCCCATATGAGAGCCATTATAAGAACTGACTTAACAAAGACACATGCCTGTCAGCCACCAGGCTGGGCTGGGCCACTGCTTATATGGCACACAAAGGGCCCGCCACCGCCGCGAGCATGTGTGTATGTTGTTTGTGTCGGGGCAAGGCCGAACTGTACATATGTGTCTGATTAGGCGTTAATAGCAACTGTCTCTTCTTGGTGTAGCACAAAAACAAATATCATTTTTTTCTGTTTTTGCTTTTTCTGGTCATATTCTAATAAAATCTAAAAATAACAAATAGTTAATAGAAAAATGTGCTTGATTTTAGAGTTAGAAACTGATGGCTGTGCTTCCTCCTTTAGGATTTTTGGTGACAGAGAGAAGACTTAGTGGTTCTATTTACAACTCTACGTGATCCTGGTGGAGAGGCAGCAAAGCAGCTTGAAGAAACACATTACAACCATAATGCCTGAATGCTTAGGATGGTTTTGTAAAAGGCTTTGTGCGCATCTTTAATCCAAAGAATATTTGTCAAAAGCCTTGAAGTCATCAAGACGTGTGCCTTTGTTGAATTCTTGGTCTTCTTGGATTTCCTCAATGGATGCTACTCTGATTGTTGTTAAATCATGAACGGTATGTTGAATGAAACAACTTAGGGCTGCAGCTCTTTATGGTGCTTTCACATCGAACAAGTAAACTTAAAAAGAAAAAAAAATCACTAGTTTGTGTGCTTTTGGTCACCTGACATTTCGCCAGAAATTTGCCAGTTGAGCAACAGCAATTTGCAAGCAGGCCAAAGGCACCACTATATCATCCAATCTGGTTGGTGGTTCCACTTCAAAATGGCGTACTCGGATTTTACGGAAAAAGTAGCAGTGGTTTATTTATGTCGGAAAGCTAAACAAAGCCGTCGGCATCCTTGGGTCCAATAGATCCTTCAGAGATGCTCCCAGGTCAGTAGTCCATGGATCTGCTTCTAAAGTTTCTGATTTTTCAACACCTGTGAAATTCAGATATTGTCTCATCTGGTTTTGATGTAATTTCCAAAAACAGGCCTTTCCTCTAACAAGAAATGTGTCTTTTGCCTCCCTCCGCCTTGCAGCGCTCCTGAGCAGCCTTCTCTATGGGTTGGGATGAAATGTAAATAATTCGCTCCAGGCCAGAGATGTATGGTGCGGCATTGGAGCCAAGATTAAGGCTATTGTGCATCCAACAGTGCCTACCCCCTCGGATCAGGAGGCTATATCAGATGTGAGCTACTAAACTGATTAATGATAGGCTGGCTCCGGTATATGATTGGCGGAGCTAGCAAATGAAATGCCGGGTATGGTAATTTAGAGGGTGAGTACTCACCTGCGTTAAATGCCCTGAAAGCTGGTGGCTAGCATGCCTAGACTAGGTGGTCTATCTTTCAAAGTTTCTCCAGTTTAGAAACATGGCTTTTACTTCGATTTGCTGGAGTCCCAAAGCCTAAAGGATGGCTTAAAGTATTTTTTATACTGATAGACCTGTTACTCTCTTTCAAATCTTTTCTTAAATTTATTTTGATGGGGCAAGATGTGTTTCTTCTTATAGCCTAAGTTGCAGAACTGGCATTGGATTCCAGTATTAGAGTTCAGCAGGTCTGGTAGTAGACCAGCCTAGACGTGGCTTTCTAGACTAAACCAGAAAAATTAGGTCAATCAAAATGAATCAATGATTTATAAAAGGAGACAATTATTTCTCAACACTGTCATATTGGTTTTGTTTATTTGAAGGCTATGTTTAATATTAACAGATTTTATCCCATTTCATATCAAATACTATTTGATCATTTGGAACTCGCTATAACAAAGCACAACCAAAATAAATCAAATTATTTTTCAAACTACTAGCTCTAACATGTTTGTAAATATATCTATCTGAACGAGGCTTTCGGAAGCATTTCTTTAACCTCTGCAGATGTCCTGCTGTTTCTTCGACCCATTTAAAACCACATGACAGGAAGCCTGTGATGCTTTGAACTCAACTCCCCCTCCAAGATAGCTGAAAAACATTCACACCATCCAGGAATCGAAACAGGACAAGCGGGACACACTTAGAAAAATAAACACCCTTCAGTGGATTCTTAATACATTTTTTTTATTTCCAGATATGTCAGTTCTGATCTATGAAATGTTAAAGTTTACAATAACAGGGGAAAAAATCGTGGTAAAAACTGCAGTCGGCTAAGTTTCATTATGCAGGGGAATTTTTCTGCAGAAAACTTTGTTTTGATTTGTTATTTGTACCATCTGGGCAAGATTGAGTTTTTTTCAAATTGAGATGTAAAGAACTGGCACACTGAGGCCTATTCTTTTCAACTGAAACAGTAGCATTCGGTCAGCTCCTCTGAGTATTGGCCTGAGTGAAGCTCAGGTCTGGAAATGATAAGTGGAAACAGACCGCCGCGGCGCTGCCTGTGTGTTTAAGGCCAATACACATCCGACACAGCGTAAACAGCCCGTACCCCAGTGACTAAACCCTGGAGCTTAGCCATAATAATCCTACACCTCCGTACAGTAGATCTTCCATATGCTTCTTGCTAAGTTGGGCTCTCTTGCCAAGATGTGCTATTGTTCTTGTAACAAACGACAAGAAGTTGCTGTAACCTTGCTTGGAGTCATTTATTCATTAGCTTTTAAAATGAAAACAAATGTTTCTTTTTTTATTGTTTAGCCTTTTATGCAGAGAGAATTGTGAAAAAAAAAAAACCATGTGAATCAAGAGGTCGGTTTTAACAACTGATGCTCCTGAAGTTTTGTACAATAATAAGTTGCTCAGGAGAGCTATTTTTTGCACATCCCTTCATCCTCAAAACCAAACATGACACAGTATCCACTGCTTCCCAGCGTGCAGGAGGAGCCTGTTTTTATGGTCTTGCTCTCCCCTGGGGCTGAGAATCTTAATGAAGTCTGATCCAAGCTTTATTAAGATCTACAGTAAAGGTGAGGTTTCGCAATAAAAAAAAAAAAATAGAGTGTGGGGGAAAACAACCCTTGATTAACCCCATCACACCTCCAGAGTACAGGAAAATTTAAACCTGGATACAAGGCAGAGCTAATCACAGCGCTAAGTGAATTCAGATTGGCTTATTTAATTTAGAAGTAGTCCAAGCACACGAGGAAAAGTAAATAAATAAAGTGATCAAATCTGGACCAAATTCCCACGTGGCTATTAGCCACAGTGTGCAAATTTGACAGCATTTGGTTCACAGCTGGCAGCAGTTTCTTGCCAAGTCGGGTTGCATACATGCAGAGGTTCTAAAAGGAGGTGTGTCAGGTGGCAAAAGAAAACAAAAAACGCTTCTTTAAACGTGCAAGACAGTGGAAAAAGGGAAGGAAATGTAAGATAAATAACATTATTTTAAAAAGAAATAAATATCAAATAAATTAAATCAAAAGGATGGGACAGTTTTCTGCATGCTAAAATCAGTTACTAATGCTGATATATAGTCAAGTTAGAGGAGAAAAAAGAAGGCAGGAGCCTTTGTACTTCCTGGAACATCCATCTTGGAGCAATCAATGCCAAAGGTAATAATCCAATCTTGGCCAGAGCAATTAGTGGGTCACTATTGTGTTTTAGTGTGTGCATAACTGTAGATCCCCATGCTAGAAAGCTATCTAAAGCCAATGACCAGTTTTTGGTTACTTTTTTTTTCTTTTCCAGCACACATAGCATACAGTGGGATCTAGCAGAGAGATGCTGGATTATTAAGCCAAGACCACCTGGGCAGGATTTGTTTCTTAATGGCTCTACAGACTCTTCAGAAGCAGAGAAATTATTTCTAAGCCATTTCAGACGCTCCTCATCCTTAACTCCTAGGATTCCCGTATACTGTATGCAGCGACCAAGCTCACTTTAAATTTTCCAACTAATTCGATATCAAATTCAGAAAAAAGGTTCTGCCAGTAATAAAAAAAGGAACTCCTAAGCCACATTTGTTCTTTTTTTTTCCCTAGTAAGGAAACAAAAATGTATTAACCATAAGTATGTGACGTGAACAATACTTCTATGGACAGTTTATTCCTCCTTGATTTTGAGAAAATATGCATCCGATTTGTAAGCTGCCAGAAGGTGGTAATAATATCAACAATAAGAGCATTAAAATTAAGTCCTCAGTTCTTAGAGAAAATGCCACAACTGACATATGAGGAGTAACTGCAGTAATCTTTACACCAAACATCACCAGGGAGGTTCTAAGAAACTGTTTTTGGTAGAAAGTCCAGACCAACAAGTCTGTACAGGGTCTGCAACTACAAACTGATGATCAAAATAAAAAAATAGCAAGAATTTGAGATTTCAGACATTTTTTCCCTTTGTTTCTTTTTAACTCAACAGAGAGTTTGGTGCGTCGGTGCAGAGTTTAAAAATGTATCTGCGGACTAACCTGAATCTGTTGCTGGAGAATGTTGATCTTGTGCTGCTGCTGCAAAAGCTGCTGCTGCTGTCTGGCAATCTGCACAAATAAAATAACAGAAGTGTCAATATTAAACTTGCATAACGGCAATGCAGCTGTGAGGCACTTATCATTCAGAACTTAATTTAATCAGAAAAAATGAAAACTAAAATGCTATTTTGCCATTCACTATAGCCCACTGTATATCTGCTAAGCAAAAACTATCTGGCTGCTGTCAGCATGTAACATTGCCTGAACACTTTAGGCTGGAGGACCTGTTGTATCCGTGTATCTATTACTTAGACAGGCAAGTCAACAACACTCAGTTACAGCAACACTAAAAATAAATCCACATAACTGTTAAAGTTAAATATTTTTTAGCCCTTTGGGAAACTGGTGGACAGAAAAAGAGTGACAGCAATAGACAACATAGGAAAAAACTGTAATTTGCAAAGTTAGTACGTTGTGCTTTCATTATGTGCTAAACGGAAGAGCTTTCTGGTTCAAAGTTTTAAATACTTAAAATGATAAAAGTTTATTTATTTACACCACAGTGAACATTAAAAATTAATTTATTAACCATCTTTAAATTGCTACAACTTACTATTGGGATCATTTTAAATGCTGCTTTGGAACTGGGACAATGTTCACATGAAAACAAATATGATATCTTAAATATTTTTGCAAAATTTGAATGGTCAAGGGAAATGGGTTAATGAAAATGATTTAAGCTGAAAAAAAAAGGTTGTAAGCATCTATTTTTTAGCATAATGTACTATTGGCAATTACATTAGGGGGTTTATCAATACATTTTCAATCTACTGTATATAATTTTTGTTAATTATTTGTACCTCAAAATCTCATGTTATAATGAATAAAACTTTATAATATTTAACACTTATCAAAGATTCTTTGAAGTTTATGATCTGTTAAAACAAAATATCAGACAAAATATCCCTAGTTTTCTCCAAAATGTGGCCCACATCTTATAAGCTTAATCTTATCTGTTGTAAAAGTTACAATAAGCAGAAACATAAAACATATAACATGCAAATTAAGGCTAAAAGAAGTGATTAAGCAAATGTGTTCATGATGATGATAAAAAATAATAAGAAAAATCTTTCCCTACTGAGCAGCTTCTATGAAAAAAAATATATATATATTTTGGTCTCGGCAGTCATATCTGCCTGAATTCAAAGCCTTATCTTTACGCTAACTGACCATGTCAAGCTGACAGTACTTGCAACATGTTGCCGTGGCATATAAACACATCTCATAGTTTACAATGACATGTTTACAACACCTTGAAACCATTTGGAACCTTTTTCTATGCACTTAAATACAAGCAGCCATCATCTTCACTAATTAGGGATTGTCTAATATCAAACATTTTTTGTCAGGTTAAAGGGTTGAGTCTTGTCTTGTGATGGCTGGCAGGGACCTGCCAGTTGTAAAAGCTTAAGACTCCTTAAAGAAGGAAGTTTTTCTTCAACTACTTCCACCCATTCTGAGCACAAAAAAAAACAGTAAAGCAGCTGCTTCTTGCCTTTTCTTCTTGAGGGATCGTTTAGTATATTTATTCCGAAACGTAATTGCAGGTTTCTGAATGGGAGGCGGCGCCCCATTTGCACACATGTCATATTTCATTAAAAGCAGATTTTTCTGGGTTTGTCTGTAGGGCATTATCCTATCAAGTCTCAACAGCCAAATGACTGGCTGATATTGGAATCTGTCTTTCTTTTCACTCCCCCCATTCTGCTTGCTCCTTTGTAAAGCTGTGAAAGGTGGTATGTGTTTTGATGGGAGGTGTGGACGTGTCCAAACAGAGCCTGTCATATGCCAGCCCATGGTGACATGTCGACAAAGAGCAAAAACAAAGCAAAGCACACCTAAAACACCTATTTGCTTATTGTTGCTCTCTTCTCCTCTTTCAAACATTATGCAATTTTAGTTATTCACCTAAAAAGTGCGTTAATAGACTATTAATCGATATCTTAAAGTTCTTTAGTCCACAAAGGGGTGTCCGAAATATGCATACAGAAAACACAAGAACATTTATTTGGGGTTGTAGGTGAACACAAAAAGATACCAATAAGAAAATATTAGCAAGAATTTATTAGAAATTTAGCAAAACATAAAATGCTATTTTATGTATTTTTTTAAATTATGTAAATAAACCAAGCTGACCATATAAAGAATGATTAAGAGGAGAGAATCAGAATAAAAACCAGTCCACCAGTTCCACACAGGATGGACTCAAATCAAATGTCCAATTGACCCAACTGCGCAAAGCTCAATTTTTAACACTGTGTGCTTATACACGGTGTCAAGCTATAAGGTGCTATAAGGTGGGAAAGAAGTCTTTACATTTGGAATCTTTACCACTGCTAAATTCACTGTTTCACTAAAAGTTTTAGCATACAATCCAAAACCACAACTAGTCTGTCAGAAAGGGATTGCTATTTATCTAGGCTATTTAGAGTATGTTTCTAGTTTTGATATTACTTTATTTATAAATACTACCTAGGGGTTTCATTTAACAGTTAATTTCGAAACAAATGCATTCCTTACTGTTTTAGATATGGATGAAGGTTTAGACTTGGGCCTGACTTGCAAAAACCAAAGATTTCAGAGCGGGATTAGACTCATGCCCTAAAGATCAGAGAGTTGACTTTAGACTGTGATCTGCGACTGAAGTCGTAATGTCCTTTTTCATCTAATTTAATCAGAGTGAAAGCAAACCTGTCAGCAACCTGTGATAGTTTGGCCTTAAACCTGTAACATATAACATTTGTGGACCATCCCTAACAATGTTATCAGGTTTGCTTAGCTTCATAATAATCGTCACAAATATGCCTATTTAACTAAAATCTGCACTGAACAACTGTAGGCCCGTTTCAAGAAAGAATAAAATGAACCTTCTACGTCTTATTCTCTCTTTTGTGTAAGTTTTTGTGTCTTTTGTCTTCTTTTTGTTGCCACTTCTAAATTTCCCTGCATTGGGACAAAAAATAAAAATTTCTTAACATTTCTTATCCTTTGATCTTATCCTAGACACTTGCAACCTACCCAAAATAAACTGATTTTTGCTCAGATTATTAAAAAAAACTTAACATTGTCTACCATTCGTTCACTAAGCTTAAAGTTTCGCCTTGAGGTTTTCAAGTAATTTGGAAAGTCCTCTAAGTTGGATTGTGAACAAAATAAACTCTCCAAATGTTCTACATTAATTAATTAAAGTAGTGTACAATATGAACATATTGACTAATAAGTCTAAGTCAGTGGTTCTCAAATGGGAGGTTTTCCCTCCCCAGATCAAGAACCTCTCCAGGTCAGAGGTATTCCAGGCATGCTTCACCAGAAGGAGGTCCAAGGGACGCTCCAGGACACACTGGATGTACTATGACTCCTTCCAATTACCTTAAATTATAGCTTCTACATCATGTTTCTTGTCCCTATCCCTTCTCATTTAAGAGTAAAGGGACAGTAAGAACACTATCAAAGGTAGAAAAGCAGCTCCGGAGAATCTAGACAACATTTAGTCCTAGGGACGTTATGATGGACGTGATGGAGAGATGATACTGGTCAAATTGGAAATATAACCTTCAAGAAAAGAATCACACCAAAAAAGTCCTACAAATTAAGCAATTACTACAAAGTCAGAGTCTCCATCATAAAACCTAAAATATATGAAGATGAGGAAATTAGCATCGTCACAAAGGTACGGTAGGCTATTCTACCTAGCTCCTGGCCACAGGTGGGAATGTCAGGAGGTCCCTATGCTAACTGAACTAGCCAGAGGAAACATTCTGCTTCCTCTTCCTAGCTGCAGCCCACCATGAACTGTTCCCAGGTAAAGTGGAAGATGATGAATATGAGTATGAGTATGAGTAGGGTCTAAGATGTATTTAGAAAGTCAAAAAAAGACTAAATACAAAGCATTGTTACATTACTTTTTTAAATTAGAAAACAGCCCATAATTTTTTTTTTACCTATTTAATAAAATATTAACAAAAATATACTGTATAAACTACTGTTTAAAAGTCAAAATGTAAACAAATCTACAGTTTTTCTCCTTAAACTATTGGTACACAAGAGAGGAATTTTTTGTTTCTATCGTTAGAGAAAGGATCTATATTTGGTGAATAAAATGACTTGTGAACCGCTGCTCCTTTCGTCAGCATCCAGTCATTTATTTCTGCGGATCTACATTGCAACAATGCAGGTCACCCTGACCCTCTCTGTACTTCTCCCTTACCACCCTCAAGGCAAATACTGCAACTGTAACACTTTTGTTCAAAACTGCTACACACAGATGTTGACTTATCTCAGGGTAGCTTTAACTACTGTTTCATCATTTGACTCAACAATCTTTTTCCTGTCGTTTATTTTCAATTCAGTTTCATTTCAGTTTATTTATATAGCGCCAATTCACAACACATGTCATCTCTTTCAGATGACTTTACAATTCACCAGATCATACAGTCAAATTGATTAAAAGTTTTCTATCTTAGGAAGACCAGTTGATTGCATCGACTTTCTGGGTTTATTTTGCATCACTTCATCTAATTCACATCAGAATTTCTCCCTGTTCTCTAACTCACAACTCACTTGTGGAGCCTAACCACTAACAAAACTGGACATCATATCTTCCTTTACTAGCTCCATCCTTTCAGACACTCTTTTTACCTTCAGATAATTCCTGATAATTTTCTCCTTGAGGTTAACTCCTAAACCAAATCTCCTCAAATACTAACCATGGCAGAACAGATCAAATCCTGCTTCTAAGGTTCAAGCCTTAATACCTTTCACTTGGTCACCTGAACACACATTCTTCATTTTGTTAGCCAATGTTTAAGCTTTTCCTGTCCTAGGCCAGCAATTAGAAGCACCTACTCACAGTTCTAGATTCTTTACTTTCCACTTCTCTCTCTGCCTAAAAACATGCTGTCCTTCTCTTCTCTCGTTTCTCCATTGCTGACCAACAGTCACACAATTTCCACCAGTTCTCAAATAATATAGGTGGTCACTCATCCAGGATCCCACCAATCTAATATGAATTCCTACCTGTTCCTGCTGCTGCCTTGCCAACTCCATCTGTTGTCTCTGCTTCTCCATTTGTGATGCCGCCATTTTTTTTTGCTCGTCGTGGGCAGCCAGAAGCTGCTCCCTCAGACTGATCAGCTGACCAATCATGGTTGAAAGTTGCCGCTCCTTTTCCTCAAGTGACTCCGGTGTACCTAAAGAAATTTTTAAATCATCAATACACTTTACTATTACACAATTAACTTAAATATAAGCTTGGAGTAAGACTGTTAAGAGCACATCAAAATCACCACAGTATCATGCTGACAACTTATTTCTACAGATAGAAAAATATACAAATTCCTAATCTCTCACAGCACTGGAAGCTGCATAGTTAGATGATGATGAAACTATTCCATTTCCAGAGGCACTTTAGGATGGTTGTTTTCCAACAAAATTTCACAATGGAAGCACACCTTTAAAAGATTAGGGCAAAAATTCAAAACAACTTGTTTAGTACCTTGAAAAGCTCTCATACCTAAATTCCCATAAATCTTCAAACTTGTTGTTACATCTCACTACTTATTATCTACCATCTTGTCTCTACATGTTATCTACCAGTGTCTGTTCTGGAGAACAATAAAAGAAGATTGCGTTAACCTCTTGAAAATAGGTAGAAGTTAAAAACCTTTGTCAGGTTTATGATTTAGGCATTTTTGAGAAGTTTATGGGCTGACAGCAGCAACATTCCAGTCTTATTCCATAGACATAACATTTCACACGGTAACACAGTCAGAGACAGACAGCACTGCTAACATTTGCCTTCTAATTAAAAAACAGAAGGTTTTAGTCGAGTGTGAAGAAAATGGTGCTGTTATGTCTTTTTATCTTCTGAAATGCTTTAACCTGGCTTATTTAGTCCAGTTGTGGTCATAACAACGTATAAAGCCTGTGATTTTTCACAGTTTGTATACAGTGTTAAGCATAAAACTTATCATCTGAGGCTTCCCTTAAAAGTTATTTTCATTCAACTTATGGTATCTGTTTTGCAAAACGTAAGAAAAGCAAATCAGAAAATAAAATACCTTACTTTATTTGTAAGATGAATTCACAAGCATTTTATTTGAGAAAATGCAATTGATAGTAGTCTCGCTACATAGGAGATGAAAAATTGGATAAATAAATATACATAACATTTCTAAACTCACTATCAAACCATTGTAGAAATGCTAACATCTCTATCCACCAAGAGTAGAAGACATGACAATATTTTAAAACTGTAAATTCAGATGTAATCGATGTACCGCATTCCTTCTCTGTTGTGATAATTTGGAAGGGTTTCCAAAGCAATGCTGAGACTTCTATAGTAACAAGTTACGTCTCTGAAAGAGTAACTGAATTAATATTTTAACTACTGCAAAATTTATGTCACTTACTGTAGTCGATAACTGCTGTAACTGCAGTAACTATGCATGTCTTTATATGATCTAAAATGCTGAAGAATTTGGATTATCGGATCTTAAAAAAATGAAAGTTCAGTTATAGAGGTGATTGGGATTTTGTTCATATTAAAAGAAAATAAAGAACTATATATTAATGCACATTGACAGACTTCAACTCACCTTAACATAGAAAAATCATGCCTTTTTTTAGCAATGAAACAAAAATGAAACACACTTTGCAATACAATTAAACAGGGGCTACACTATTCAAGAAAAAAAAAAGAAGGACTGTATAATCCCAGGATTTACATAGGAAACAGCAGAAACCAGGCGAAATCTGCCTGCTGCGCATAGATTGCGTTTATGAAAAGTCGCTTTGATTGATTGAGTTGTAGTAACAGTGGCTCTAGATTGGAATTAACATAACAGCATTACCAATATGCAAAAAGTAAATAGATTAGTTTTTCAATGCAGTTTCTAATGCTGTTAGTATGTAACACTGTTACTGCAAACATTGTTGTTAAGATTTTTGTGTCACTACCATGTTTACTGTTGACTTCTTCTACTGCTTTAGCTAGAGATTGATAATACAGAAGCTACATAAATCTTTGGTTCTCTCCTGATGTTGCATTAGTTTGTGTTTAGATAAATCCCCTCAGCACCGTTAAAAAGAAAAACCACAACAGCATTCAGTAGCCAAAGATTTAGCTAATCTGTTTGTACAATTCAGTAAACAGAGGGAATGAATCTGAAATCCAGACAGAAAGATTTACTAAACTGAGGGAACAGAGTACAGGAGAACGAATTCAAACATTTTCTGGTTTTACCACCTGTACCTGGTGGGCTGCACACTCACACGTGCGTGCAATTATTTCGTCACCATTAGTCAGTGATTCAACTTCTGGGCTTTAGATTGTGTTGACTTTTCTTTGTTGTTTTTTTTTTTTTTGATCCGTTAAAAATAAAAGACAGTTTATAGCTTAAAGACCTATATAACTGTAAATAAACAGACTCTGCAGTACCTTTTATATATCTTTTTCCAACTAATCTGACTACATCCTGTTGGCTTTTAGGAGATGGTACATCATGTCGACCCATGAAGCAGAATGGACTTCATTTATTTATAGTTTATATATATGATTCTGAAAATTTATAAAGAGCAAAACGTTCATTTTTGCACCCCTTTTATGCAAAAAAAGCCTTTGTTTACTATTGTTTTGCAATAAAAACGCACATTTTTCTAATTCTGTATGTAATAATAAGTTTCATGTTGCTCATTTAAGTTGGTTTTTCATTGGTTTAATGTGTTTAGATATTTGTCCTGTTTGATGTGTAAATGTCACACATGGACTGAAGTTCATCATGTTCAGAAGTTCATGTCCAGTGTACGTGTGTGCATGTGCGTGTGAGAGGTACATTTTTACAATTTCACCATTAAACGAGGGCCGTTTGTACTAAATTGACCACACTGGTCCTCACTTCCTTTTTTTTTACCGGTCAGGTTTAGAGCTAAGGTGTGAATTGGGTTTAGGTTAGGTTTAGGGTGAGGTATGCCCTGGTGATGGTTGGGTTTAGGGTGATTTTCTAGGTTAGGGCATAGAAAGGGTTGAAAATGACTGAAAATCAACGGAGGTCAACCCATGGTCCTCACTACATATAGCAAGACAAAAACATGGAATGTGTGTGTGTTTGGGGGGTAAGGTTTTGCCTTGGGGCCATGAAGAGAGACTGCAGGGTGGCCCCAACACTACCTGCATACTAACAAAGTATCCATTGTGGTCTTGTCAGACCACTATTGTAGCTACCAGAGACTGTCCCTCCCCACACATGGAAGTGACCCCTCAGCACCCGCGTACTAAAGACAACATTCTTCATTCTGTGTTTTTTTTAAATGCTAAATTACTCTTTCATTTTTAACCCGGTAATTCTTGTATATTGCATTCCCTTTGGGCCCCAGCCCTCTTATTTACACTTTTCCAGATTTGAACCTTATTCTCTTTTAGGAATGTCTTGCTCCTTCCTTTTTATCTTATTTACAGCTTTAGGACCTTCTGCTTTTTCTCTTACTCCCTTCTTGCATCTCTTTCCTCTGCCATCAACACCTTCCAATCTCCTCCCCTCCTTTCTCAGTGCTTAAAATCTTTTTCTCCAGCTCCTCCCTTTCTCCTTGTCATCCCCATCTATATCCTCTGCTACTATCAGTACTCTTCTCTGGCCTTATTTTCACTGTTTGGCTAACTGGTGGCTGCTTCATAACCCCGACAAATCTCAAACGCACAAGAACAGACTTCCTCTATATTCCTCTCCCCACATTCTTTAAAAAAAAAAGAAAAAAAAGTGAGACCCATTGTATAATCTCAGCAACTGCGATTACAGTTCAATGATTCATCTTTGTGGATTACGGGGGGAGCATTCCAAACGTGCTGCTTTGCGTTCTTTCAGCGCTTTCTGGCACCAGTAACCTTAAGAGATATTTCCTGTTTCTATCCATCAGGATTATTGCTGACACCTGCTGAGGTCACCAGCCAAAACAGAAAGCCATTAGCTGTTTTCTCTCTCTGTTTGTGGATGCTCTGCATTTAAACCAAAACACCCCGATGTCTTCATCAGTTTAAGTTCAGCTTTCAATTCAAATGTCCTGTTAGCGTCCATCATAAGAGCATTACCTGTTCAAAATCCTGTCCAAAAACATATTATATTTTCAATAATATTCATACAACTGCCACACATTATTTATGATTTTAAAAAAGCTAATCACTAGGCCTACTGTAAATATTAGTATTATCCTTAACCTTATATTATAGCATTTTGTTGTCTTGCTTCTTATGTAAACAAAATTTCTTTCTTATGTGCACAAACTTGGTGAATAAAGACGAGCGATTCTGAAATCTCTCTGTTTTTGTCCTTGACGTGGGCGCCCTTCTGCAGACAGACAGTAACATATGTTTTCATGGGAAGAAATATGTTGAAAAAAGGAAGATAGTGGATTTGGTACTTGAATGTGAATATGATTATTGCAGCCAGATGTGCCAGCTCATGCATCTAACATTATAATGAGACGCTTTCCATCCATCTGTTCTTTGGCTTTACTAACTGTGTTTAAGAGAAGATCTTAATGTAAAGGCTTGAAAAAATTGCAATGCAAGTAAAATCACCAAGAGGCTCAAGCACAGAAAGAAATCTCAGCCTATAGCTTTTCTCAATTATTCCCTTTCTTACATGATCATGATAATCACATACAAATTACATTTATTTTCTGACAAATATCATCCCTTTAGACATCATAACAGAAAGTAGAGATGCCTTAGATTTCTGCCAAAAGTGTACTTAATTAATACTCAAAAGGAGAATTTATTTTTAATGAAATGCACTCCTTCCTCATGCATTTTAAAGGTTTTCACAACCATGACTCATTCTCTGCTGTCTTGCATCTTATGCTCCAGTGTTGACCTGTTTCTTTTTATGTTAATGTAAACTTTTGAGGGTGGAGCCAACCTGAGAAAGTAAGTTTTTTTTAGTTAAGATGTATCATGAAACTGTTGACCTGTCGGGTTTTTTTGTGATTTTTACTTAATTATGGCAATGGAAAGATGGATCAATAAAACACTAACAAAACAAAGTTTTAAAGCAATTTAAAACAAAATCTTAAGACAATATAACAAAATTACCACACCATGCAAATTGCTGTGATACAGACAGAGAGACTTAGGTGTATCTGCTGCTGTCAGTGCATATCGGAGGGAAAAGTATTGATATTTTACCCGAGTAATGTT